CACAGCGATGTTTAAGCGTACGTGTCTATGGGAACATAATGCGGGAGGAGAATATTCCTTTCCACTGCTCGTCACACACGGCTTATTAACCTTGTTCTAACACTCTCCTAAGCAAGTTTCGGGAAAGCCACGACAGCAAGATGATATGACATTCATGTCAACACTAAACGAGATAACAATGTGCAAAGTTTGTCCTCAAAGCGTTTGTTCTATGCACACTATCATGAGTATCGAAGGATACGTTCACAAGTAACCTTCTTATTACTATCCACGCGATTTTCGGGAAAGGTCACGAAAGCAAAATGTATGCGCTTAACGTAACACCACAAGAGATAACAAACTGCAATGTTTCGTTCTCAAAGCGCTTGTTGTACGCGGATTAACAAGACTATCACGGCACTGACGTTCTACAAGTAGGCTTCTTATTCTAAAACGCACTCAGCTATGTTATAGCCTAGTCGCCTCTCTATGGGAAAATAAGTCATGAGTATCAAGGGATAGGTTGCACAAGTATATGCCAATAGTAAGTATATGCCAAGCTGAAATGCGTTAAGTAAACAATAAAGGAATTATTACCCTGCACACTGTATGGTATTCAACTTGTCTTTCACAATACATATTCATTAAAATATGGGTAAAATCGGTTTGTGACAATTATAATGTCAACCTATCATACTTCTAATTGGGGATAAAAGTAATATGCAATATGCACTTCAGAGTGAAAAAAATTTAAATTTAAATCCATATTAAGGGACAACAAAAACCAAAGCTCCAAGTATTCTTTAATAAATAGTTATACAAGGCATAGTAATTGTTTTCAAATGCGGAAAGTTATATATCAAACTCAAACACTAAAAATACCGATAAGTTGCCATTGTGCCGCCATATTGATTTATAGTAAAAAGAGACTGCCAGACACGATTTTGCTCATCATCGGATTCGAAAATATGCGGATTCCCCGTCAACAAGTATCAGATTCATTGCAGATTTATTTCTTTCCACTCTGGAGAGCAGGTTTAAAAGTATCCGGATTCGCTGCCGAGTTCGCCGGATGCGTGTGGACGGGAGCCTAACTGGAAAGAAATTATTGCAAATTTCACAGTTTTCGTAAATTTCGTAATTTTCGCAGTTTTCGTAACTTTGGTGAGGCCTTCTTTGCAACCCTTTGAATAAATTTCGTAGATTTTGTCGATGGTCTTGACAATTATTGCAAGTTTCGCAGTTTCCGTAACTGCATTCAATCCTGGACATTACTCAGGCCACCGCGCCTCCCACGCTGGGTATTGAGAGCAACATTATTCCCCTCCAGTTACCACACAAACTAACGTCGCCTATTTTTTTGACTTTTTACATAGCATTGCGAGAGAGGTTCGTCACCTTTAAGGAGCTGACTCGTTCCAAGTCTCCTCTCTTGGGAAAAAGGTACAGGACTCGGGGGATAAACCAAACGTCTAAAGGTCGGCACACACGAGGGGACCAGTCCCATCGTGAGAACTAGCCACTTTTGCTTCGAATTCAAACTGGTTTGAATTTTTGGGACAGGTCCCTGCGACTTGTTCCTCAAAACGCTTCGTGTGAACTATTCGTGGGACAAGTCCCTCCGACCAGTCCCTTCGTGTAAACTCTTCAGGGGACTAGTTGCAGGGACTAGTCGCAAGGACTAAGTCCCCTCGTGTGTGCCGACCTTGACTCAAGACACAACGGACAAGTCTGCTACATATCACGGTCCCTCCTAGGGTAGGGTTTTGAGGAGGTCGTAAAGAAACAACTAATTTTTTTTCTGGTGGTCCCTGCCCTCTGCTGGGAAAAAGCACATCATACATCAACAAGGGAGAGCTCAGTCACAGCGAAACAACAGAAGAGGACATATTTTTACCTAATTACATTGTATTGCAGATTTGCACCCTAATTTTGTTCCATAGTTATATAGCATGAAAATTGTCTTCCCTTTTCTTGACAATTCGCAAAATATCAATGATCAGTGTAAAGCAAGAAATTCATAACTTCACTTGTAAGCCAGTGGCACAACCTCTACCCACATAATAAATTATTTCTGGCTATGTAACACAAAAGTGATTTTTCTTGATGTCAATGAATTGAGAGTTTTAAATGTCTTGTATTGAACAACCCACGTACAAAGTTAAAAATATACCGGAGATGAGCGGATTTTCAAATAAACCTTTTTCTTATTACATAAACAATTAAAATTTGTTCAAGGTACGTTTTTTTGGTAAATGCATTATAAAAGGATTTTCAAGCTCATTTCTCAAACATCTGACATACTATAGTCAACTTGTCCCTTGACCATGACGCCCGAAAAAAAGATTTGAGATAACTGAAAGAAATTCCAGTATGTGGATGTTAACTTGCAATGTTTGTTATGTTAATATTTATATTATTAGATAGAGTAATGTTACTTAGAGGAGCACCATCTCTTGAATATAAATATTAATAATATAATCTACTTGCATGAATGAACAATCCGAAGGTTGTTTGTGCGCTCATATTGATCTTTTTTCAATTTGATAAACTGAGCAAGCAGCANTTGTTATGTTAATATTTATATTATTAGATAGAGTAATGTTACTTAGAGGAGCACCATCTCTTGAATATAAATATAAATAATATAATCTACTTGCATGAATGAACAATCCGGAGGTTGTTTGTGCGCTCATATTGATCTTTTTGCAATTTGATAAACTGAGCAAGCAGCATACAAAGAATGTTTTGTCTGGTATTGTAACAACTTGTGTTAGTCCTAAACCCCAGCACTGGTTTTCAATAAATATTGAAAAATACCTATAGCAAGGGAACATGTGATTCATGACCATATGGTGAAGACCCAGGATCAATCAGATAAAAAGAACAAAATCAATGTAAGAAATGCAAGAGGGTCTTTGTTCCTGATCTAGTTGAGTGATGCTTTTCTTGTAAACTGATATTCTACTCCTTTCAATGACTAAGCCTTGTGTTGCAAAAATGCACAATCTATAACTCGTTTATGTAGAGTCAGCTGTCCTCCGACTGTTGTGCAGTCTCCTAGCTTTCACCTGTCCTTGATATGTTGACAGAAATTTATTTCCGTGTCCATAAAATTTTGAAGAGCTCCAATCACGGCAGTGTTGAGCTGATAGCCTAACTTCTTCATAATTCTTGGGAGTTCTCCTGTTGTATTGGGGTAGAATTTCACTTGCTTCTGCTGATAATGCCTGGAAACCAAAGCAACAGAGTTGAAGCATTTCAAGAATTTTGCAAAACATATCCTATTTCCCAGTGAGCTCAGTATTCACTCAGCCTCCAAAAAAAGAGCACTAAGGGGTACTGGGGGGAGGAAGGAAATACATGTAATTACACATAACAATGAGCTTACGAATATACTTATTAACAGAAATACTAGCCAACAATCAAGCAATCATTTATTCAATTAGATCAGCAAAAGAGCACAGATCACTTCAACTTATCAATTTACATCGGAATCTCATTTATGAACTCCCTAAGGCAAGAGAAATTGCTTCAATCGAAACACTGACTTTAGACTTGTCCTGTTAACCAAGGGAGCAAGAAAACTACATTAATTGATCCAGAGGTTAAAAAATTAGGATTCCACAGTATAAACTACAAAACTATAAATTGAATCAAACTGCTATACCTTTAACCAGATCACGGCATCTGTGCCAAAACCTTCCATAGAGTAAAGTTGTAGATCTCCATCAAAATATCGGGCATATAATCTTGATAATGGCAGGCCATATCCATAACCAGCCTGCAAACAAGAAGAAATGTTACAATCACACCAGTAGGGAGCTCAAGCAACGACAACAGTGACGCCGAAGACGACGCCTTGTCAAAAATGAATTTATATTTTACGAGCAAAATTCGCAACTTTCTAGATCTGTTCAGTATGCCAATGGCTCTCAAAACGTGCTCAGGCTAAATATGCAATGACAGCGTTCAGTTCCAAATGGAAATACAAAAAATTAGCCATTGTCATTCGCGTTCCTGGACTACGAAGAACTTGGCAATTTCACGTTCCTGTTTTGCAAAGAAATGTACAAAGATTTATAAAGCACATGCAGAGCTATTGTTTTGGTTATTGAACCTTTGGGTTGGTGACGTTCTCATTGCCGTCATTGTTGTGGTTTGCTCAAGCTCCCTAGTGTTACCAAAACCTCAACTAGCATAAATGAAAAGGTAGGTTCTGGATAAGATAAACGCTTTTAAAAAGGTCTTTTTTTCCAGTAATTTTCTTATATTGGCAAGTAAATAACACTCATGTCAGAAATTGAAGAGTAGACTAGCATTTCTTCATGTTGCCCTAAAATTGTGAACAGAGAAATAGAAGCAGGACAATGTGTAGTCACCGTCTATTGTACAAAAATTAAAATGACTGTAAAGTGTTAGCAGAAGGTCCCAAAAAAAACAAAGATTCCAAACAATTAGCCAGTTTTTTTTCCTGCATGGTACAGAATTGCATGTAGTTAAAAAGTTTTTCTTCCTACCATAGGGGCTGCAGAACCACTCCTCAGTGGTTCTGGGGCTGAAGTGTAGTGGTACTCAAATACTTGGTCAATTTTACTCTTGGGTATTCCACCTCCTTGATCAGAAATCTAAAACAAGAAAAGTGCAGGGACAAGATAATTAAGTGACAAAGGTTCAAATGAAGCCTGTAACTGCTGTAAAATTGATGTTAAAATCTTTTAAAATCCAAGTTTTCGCTGATCCATGCATCATCAGAGATAAGAAAAATATTCCGCATAAGGCTTAAATACAAATGTAAAGTAAAAACATGTGAAAAGCGAATGAATGTGGAGAGTAAAATGTATAAGATAAATAACAAGGTACAAATATGAATAAAAATGGTAAAATGATCTAAGTGTCACTGTACAAAGAGTCTCTCTAGATATGGTAAAATAGTCATTAGAACAAAAGGTCTGCAAATTCGCTGCATTCCTCTCGGGAGTTGAGAGCAGATTTGTATTTTCGAATGTAAAATGCTTTGAACAGGCGTAAGTTTGCTGGGTTGTTTTTAAGTACAACGGTCTTGATTTCGATGCCTTTGTAGACTTTGTTTTGGCACTTTTAGATGTGTTTCTTTACAGCAGAGTTTTCATTGTTCAAGCATTCTCTTATATGATTGTGAATAAAGCATGTAGTGCTCCTGATGCAGGGACAAGACTTCAAAAACAACAGTTTTTGACCTGTTAGTCCAGGGACATCATGCATATTGTTGCCTTTACTTTAATAGCTACAACATGAATATGTTTAGTCTTAGTGACTAAACTTCTTGGGACTAAAAACAAGTTTGAATGATTAAAAATATAAATACATGTACAAAACTGATGCGGAAAAAGAATAATGCATCAGAAGCAATATTACCTGGGAAATATTTGATTATTATACTCAAAATAGCGAAACATGAATTCCAAGACTGTTCTAGAATTGGGAGTGCACCTTGAGAAAAATCTTAAGCTGGTAGCTAGAAATTGGATGATTTATCAGTTAAATTACAAACCTTGACAGTCAAGTCTTGTCTTCCTTTGGTTATCAATACTTTTAGTGGAGGAATGTCAACACTGCTTCCATGTTGCTCCACGACTGCTCGCATGGCATTCTGAAAGATGAATGAAATATATAAGCTGGACTGTAAACAAGTCCTGTTCAGTGTTACTAGCCAGGCAAATTAAACACTCTCTGTGTGAAAATAAAAGGACAATTTTTAAATGGACATTTTTTTTTTAAAATCTACCACATAGTAAGGACCTACCTTTAGTAATTCAAAAAGCATGTGATACAAATGTCCAGGAACATATGCCATTTGAACTGGCTTTTTGGGATCAATAGCTGCACAGAAATAAAGATAATTAATTATTCATCAGAATATACCAGTATGTTAAAACTGATGATACACATCAAGTGCTAAGTACAGGAGTCTGGGTTGACTGGCTTGAAGACTGATGTGAAATGTTTAGAACTGTTTAAAAACAACAGAACTTGTCTAATATATAGATTTAGCCATGCCTAAAAGCAAAGCTCCTGATGGCAATAACTGACGATAAAGGAAAAAGATAATTATTTTTTCATGAATCAGAAACTCAAAAATGATCAACTGTGAGAATGTAATTGTTCAGCGTGTGGTTTTGCTTACCCAACAAGCCTAACCAAGATTGTAGAAATTACGTATATCAGGGGCTTTCCAAGAGAAAGGAATATGTCAGAAGAAAAGTCAACAATGCGCCAGGGGTTAATTTGTGCCGAAATTTTGCCTTTGCGAGTACTCCTTCCTTCTCCCCCAGAGAAATAARYTGGCTTGAGCCCACAATCCAATCAGTAAACCAGTAACTGGTCAGCGGTCAACTTTAAAAAAAAAACATGCAACCTCYATGAGCTCTAAACCTGAGRTCGCGATGTAGTCACGTGATACTGGTCAGCGGATAGCTTGTTGTGACAGCTGTCAATCAACAATAGCTTGGATGCCCAAAATCAAAGGTGTAGCTATGGTAATGGTGCTACTCTCTTAGTTTTCAAGGTATTGGCATACGGACGGGCGTACGTACGCAGGAGCTCTGCTACACCATATAAACTCTTCCTTACAGGCTAGAAATTCCAGTTTGCCAAATGGGATATAGCATCCACTGATGTGCAAAGAACAACTTGCGTGGCTATGGACCTCAACTCTGTCAACTCTCAGTCCATAAACACACTAAAACTGAAATTGGCAGATATCCGGCCAACTTGACCTCATGCTTGGTCAACAACCCATTTGTATTACAGATACAGGTATACATGTAGCTATAGAATCATCAAGGTATTGATACAGTACATCACCAGGGAGTTTTAATGGTTGTCATCCCAGAGGGGTCAAGAGTAGAACTGGAATTAACAGGCGGTCCTCGTACAATGTCTGGCCTCATTGAGGATTTAACCAGTCAAACTTTCATCTTGCAGGTCATGTTAACTGGTCACATTGGATCATATTGTACACTTGAGGAACTTTGAAGTAAAATGATATGAACAAGAACTGTTTGTGGGCAATTCCCATTTTGAAATCCAAACTTCCGGTTTAAAATATAAACATGTCCCCTTTGGTAATTTCCAAGTTGTCCATTCCCTACTTGTATCCTGCATCTTACACATACAATATACATGATAATGATTACAAACCAGCTTAAAACGAGCTGAAGGATCATTGCTTACCATTACACTCAGAAATTTCCACCTCTGGGGAAGCACAGTAAAACTGTTCACACAAGTAGGCGGCATTGTTTATAGCATCTGGGAAAACAAACAACACAAGGAAATGGTGAATAAAACCTGCCCTAATAGAGCAGTTTTCATTTTACAGTCAAGAGTAATTCACATCTATGGTTTGTGGTTTTTCATTTCTACACTTAGAGTTAGTGATTGTTTAATAAACTTGCACTACTTTCTCAAAACCAATTGTGATTTGCTCACATGTTTTCCAATGCTGTGTTTCCTTGCTATTTACTTACATTTGCATTGAGTTTCCATTGGTTCTCTATGTTTTCTGTGTCCTCTGTGATTAACGAAAGTTATAACTTTGGCTCTGGTTTTACATGCCAACAGGCAATGGAACACTATTCTAACTTAATCAATTAAATATAAAACCCACGACTCCTAGATTACACAAAATAAAGAACTGTGTTTTGAATGACCATTGTTTTCTTTGTGATGGTCTAGTTTACAGTTACATAAAGGATTACATGATTCAGGTCATGAGAAAATAACATAACTAATACCTTCTACCACTGATGCAACATGGCATGTTGGGTCAAAACAACCAATGAAATTACTCTTAGAGCTTCTGGCATCCTGACCAAATAACAACACTAGTAAAAAACACATAAAGATGAGTCACACATTATACAAGCTGAAATACAAAAAGCTGTGGTTCAGACAGGATCAAGTATTTCAGGAAATTTACCTTAGTTTGCAAACTGATGGCAGCTTCAATTGACTGGTACATGTATGTAACTAGTTCAACAGGTCACAAGTAAAACCATGGTTGGTAAGGCTTGAAAAGTACTGTACATGTACATGTACCATCTTACATGTACTTCCCCTTATAATACTTGTATTATACAATAAAATTATTATTAACCACTGGATCATTGTATAATGCAATTCAAGAGTTTTCATTGGTTAAGCAATCATGGTATACATGTATGAGCAATTATACCATGCTCCATAATTTTGGGGCATTGTTTTAGTTTTCGATATTTTGGGGGCATTTTTAATAAAACAATTATTCCACTTGCACTAGCTGAATGTGAGATGATTATAGCCAACTCAGCACTATCAAGCTCGTTGACCATCTATTGTCTCATATTCAACATGACCTTGTGGAATAATTGTTAATTAAAACATTGTCAGGGGTAGAGATGAAAACAATACAATAATTTGTTAGGGGGATTTTCTTGACTGTACCAAAAACTTTCCAAAACTAACTTTAGAAGAAAAACAACTAGGAGTAAGTGACTGCCAGAACACACAACACTGTTAACACAATACTATTAAGTGCACTTACAATGCTGGGTGATAAGCATTCGTATACTAATACGATTCATGTAGAAACGATCTGTGAGAAAATGAGAAATTATCAGTCATCAGTGTCAAAAAGCTTGGACTGGGGTAAATATGTTAGGACTATTTATTAACAAAGAAATGGATTCTAATGGTCAGCAACCCCAAGTCCCTTGAGAGAAAAAAAAAATTCATAGTGATTATACTGATACTACAGAAGAGTAGCAAACTAATGTAAGAGCAACTTTCTCTAATGGTCACCTACACTGTATACCTATGCAGGTTATAATTGAAGGCTTTAGTGCAAAAAGGGCGTATGTAGCATTTTGGGTCGATTTTTATTTTTTGCAGGATCAAGCTAATTTTTGGCCGACTGGCTTGTTTTGACATGGCATCGTTGTGTAATTGTTTTTGTTGATTTGCGCTTCGTTTTCGAGAATTAACATATGCAAAATACTCAGTTTTCCAAGGGTATCTTTTAGAGATCTTTTGTTGAGCACAAAACAAAAGAAACCTTTGTTTTGCTAAATGATGAAGTCAGCGAAGCGTGGTATTTGCCGCTAGTTTTATTATTCATATAATTACCCACTTTTCTTACTGTTGCTTCGTTAGCGCAAGCGAATAAAGTGCTGAACAGGCCAGATTCGACTTTGATTGTCATGAAACCGGTTCGATACGAGGTTGGTCGATTTTTTTTTCTGTCTATTTCTCTACTTCTTTCAAAAATCAAAACATCTTTTTTAAAAAAAAACTGTGCTGTCGAAGCTGCTAAAAGTGACCGTTTAAGTTTGCGACGTGTCAAAATCCACCTTGGAAGGATTTGCTCCAAAAGATGCTGCTCGGAAAACTGAGTTTTTTTTGCATACGTTATTTCTCAAAAACAAAGTGCAAATCAACAAAAACAATTATGCAACAATGCTTTTCATGCCAAAACAAGTCAGTCTGCCAAAAATTAGCTCGATCCTGCAAAAAATTGAGAACATCTTGAAGACTAGGCACTTGAGCTAATCACAAGACATTTTGACCTTTCACGCTGCAATCACTATCTCCAACATTGATCCAGAAAAGTTTGCCTGTGGGTCTAATCTCCAGTAAAATAGTCTCTAAGATCAGTTACTGTAAATGAAAATACCTATCAGGCTGCAAACAAGCATTTTAAGCAGATGTTTAAAATCTTAAAAGTTGTAAGTGATGTTTCCATTTCAGCTCATTGTTTATCAAACTCAGGCTAAATTAAGGTCAGAAATCACTCTAAGTGTTTTGTCAATTATGTATTCCACTAGTTTTCGAATCGGACTCAAGTCTGGTCTTAGTCACCTCGNGTATTAAATCTATATATTGTGAACTTGATTTAATATATTCCCATCTGGCCCTCCTGCTCATTCAATAAGCAGATAGTATACCAATAATAATGCTGGAAAAATGTGATAAGAATGTTAGCAGTAATCTACAATACACTACAATATTTATGAATAAAAGTCTTGGGAGAAATTTGCACTTTTGGTGCTTTTGCACACACCTCAGACAAACAGTCATGAACAAATACAACTTCAACTGCCTAGCCTCTCTCCCTACCTCACATACAATGTTGACACCGAGTACTTGTAATTTCTCCTGAGTTTCAACATTGTATTCACATGGGAAAGGGGAACAGCAATGAATGGCAGTACTTTTTCAAGCTTCAGTTGCAGAACACGGATAATTCGCTACATTACATCAGTGTCCCAAGGACTTTTGTCAACCGTTAACAGTATTCCATTCAGAATAACATGCAATACAAACCGTCACTTCAGGGTACAGTAAAGGTATTGAAACTTCAATCATACTCACCAGCTTCTAACAAGCTCAACAGATGGCATTTTCAACAAGTTCTTAGGAAGAAGATCAATCTCCCTGATGATGTGTGCAAGCCGCACAGGTAATTCATGTCGACCAAATTGGAAAGATTCTACTGGTTTTGCAGTCTTGCCTTTCAAAGGAAAGAATGTCAATGTTTTAGTCTGACGGAATGTTAATTAAACTAGATTAGTAAAAAGCTTTTCTCAAACTGTCAACCTTTCACTCTTGCCTCTCCATATCAAAGGTTTTCACAAAGTTACAACTAAAACTCATGCAGTACAGACAAACGTACACTAAAGAATAACACAATGCACTTCTTACTACTTAAAAATGACTTGATATCCAATCACTATCTAATTAGTTTAAATTTTATAAGAAAATAGATAATTTATAAAATAGATAAAAAAACTTCTCTGAATCAGTAAAGTAGCTTTTTTGTATTAAGCCTCGATAAATGTCCAACACCTGTTTA